GTGTTATTATTATTATTATTATTATTATTATTATTATTATTTATAAAATGATCAGTTTCTCACTTGCCTCTCAGGACCTCCTCACAGTACAAACAATGACAGGAGTGTTGAAGTGATTTCAGACTGAAGTGATAATCTTACACAGTGTGTGTGTGTGTGTGTGTGTGTGTGTGTGTGTGTGTGTGTGTGTGTGTGTGTGTGTGTGTGTGTGTGTGTGTGTGTGTGTGTGTGTGTACCTTGAATGTAACAGTGAAGACCAGCACAGTGAAGACCAGCGTCCCAAACGTCCAGTTTCCAAACATCTGCAGAAAAGGTGCCGTTAGTGACACATTTCAAATGAAAAATACTTTGTTTTTTGAGAAATAAAATGATGTTGGAATGCACTCGTGTTATTTGAGGTCGCTCTACAGGCCTGGTGTTAATACTGCATGGTACACAAGGATAAACTCAAGTGCAACAATCCAAGAATGAACCACTCAATCATACAGATGGTGCTGACAGGTGGAGGATAGATCGTCTGATGACTGATGGAGGGGAAAGATGAGAAATATAACCAGAAGAAGAGATGTCAACCTGATAGGAAAACATTTTAAATGTGCTACAGTACGTGTAACATTTTATAAATGGACAAAGACAACATGAAGCAAGGCAGCCTCTTTACTTATGGAAGTATACAAATAGTCCTGATGGCTCGAGAGAAACCGCAAATGTGACAATGCTCTCGTGCTCTGAAAGGAGCTCCATCAGCTGAGGGGGGATTACATTAGGAGGATCACTAAATGTCAGGTAATGGAAGAAAGAGGGCAGTTAATATTCATGTATCCCCTGATTTTAACTCGTCGTCACACACATAATGCACACTGAATAGTTACGCTGCTGAATCACTACATTAACACCTACACACACTACACAGAAGCCTAGTGACTACAGCAAGCACTAAACATGAGATGAATGGACGATGGGTGTTTTGGTATCAGGCTGTGTGACGGGACTGAAGAACTGAGAGTCGGGGGGGATGACAGAGAGACAGGGACAGGCTTACCATCTGTGTGTTGGTTGTCATTAGCTGGGAGGAGGAGGAAGAAGAGAAGCAAAAAGAAAAAGCAACACAAAGGTAAGAGGAGAGAAAAAGAAGAAGAGGAAGAAGGCCAGAAGAAGACAAATCATAATAAAAATAAACAACAGTTTTGTGGCTGGAGAAGAATAAAATAATTCATAAATTAAAGTGAAGTCAAGCAATTCAAGGCAGACCCAAAGGATTCTGGGAGCTGCTTGAAATAAGAAGGAAACAAATAGAGAAACACAGAGGAAGATGGTGGAGACCCGCCATGCTGTCGTATCTTACTATTATTGACTTATTAGTAAGACCATGTGTTACAGGTACAATCCAAAAATATATTATCGGTCAGGTGCTTTATTTTTAAGAGATCTACCATTAAAGCAATTCCTGAAGTCTACAGTTAAAACAAATTGGACATGGGTGATAAAAAAAAGGTGAGATTTAAAAGTAAAATATCCTTGGTTTATGTGTATTAATAAACGTAAAACGACCCCAAAAGACAAATTCATGAGCCTCAAAGTGACGAATAGGAAAACTACATATCTTATATTGAAGTATGCAGCATAATATTTGATAAATGAAACATCCAACAAGATTAAAAAAAACATTGTTGCAAAGATATCTATTTATATATGACTTGCTTTCCCTCACGAGCCTTGCAAACTACCAACAAAAACGAGGTGGAAAATACGAAACTGAAATCAGATTAAATGTCGTCATTTAGCAGCTTGTTGATGCTTTTACTTTGGGAAACGCACCCTAAATGACACGTGGATGTTACCTGTCCGTTGCTGGTGAAGGTGGTGTTGTCAAACAGGAAGTAAGCACCGAAGAACATCACGATGGCGTCGTACACACCCAGGAGAGTCCAGTAAATGAAGATGGGCCACCGCAGCAGAGAGTTCTTAGCAATGTCTCTGTGAAGATGATATTAAACAGATTAACCTTCCTATTGTCTTCGTTCCCCCCCCCTTACTTTGGTGTTCGCAGTCAAATTTGAGCGGTCCTGTTTTAACTGCTATCACATTAACACAAAAACCATTAATCATCACCACATTTCATTTAACACCCTTTCAAACTGTACATATTGTATCAGACTACTGGTATACATGAAACACTGCAGTAAATATACAAAGAACAGACACTGAACATGTATCAGGTGTGCCAGGTGTGATCCATGTGGGGGGAGGGGCACATAAGAGCGGGAAATCTATCAAATTGTTCTGTGTGTGTGTGTGTGTGTGTGTGTGTGTGTGTGTGTGTGTGTGTGTGTGTGTGTGTGTGTGTGTGTGCTATTGGACCAGTAAAAGGGTTTAAAAGGGATTGTTAGTCAATTGGAAGTTGAATACTTGGAACACATGTTGGCGTTCTGCAGTAAAAGCCTGTCACTTGCAGTTGTTTTTCTGCTGTAGTTGTTTGTGTCTGTATAGTGCAGATAACTGGAACAATCTTTCAAAGGTTGATAAATGCAACAAAATGCTTGTTGCCGACTTGAATTTTCTAAATGGCGACCAATTTCCAAGAAGGCCGTCATTTCCAGTCAAGGGAAAACAGTATTTTACCACAGCATTTTAACCACTGGACCAATTTCCGTGATTTTGGTATTGCAATATATGTTTTTGTTGCCTCTGGGGAAGTCAAATTTACAATATAAAAAGTTCTGCAGAGCATTATTTGCGTCATTTTAAACACAAAATGGCTAAATGTGGGGCTTATTAGAAAGCATTTGGGACACTAAACTACACTGATTCTAATACTATGTCTTCTATGTTGGAAAAGTATGTTAAATGACACTGAACCCCATAATATTCTCTACTACTATACATGAACACCCCAAAATACCTCCACCAACTCAACTACCATGCATGTTAGGCTACCCAGTTTTCCATTGGCCGGTTATTTTTGATAGTATGGCTTAGATATGTTAAAAAAAAATAAGCTTCTGAGTCATTCCTGATGTCTCAATTTGATTTCTACCTGGTCAAAAATGTATGCTTTGAAACGAATATCATTTATACAGCTCAAGTGAAAGTGTTTTTTTGGCAAAACAATAAATATTTCCAAGCCATCATTGGTGGCCATCTTGAAAATTGCAGCCATTTTCATTCTAAACGGCTTTTTCAAAAGAGTAACCTCGAAGGAGCCATTTTCTATCGCCAATATGAGTAATTTGATCCACTTTTGAAAGATGGACCTGGTATTTTCAATCACCTGCAGCACTATGATGAACTTCATGATCTTAAAATGTTAAACGCTCAAAACAACTTCTCTTTCTTTCCCGCCGTCCTTTCTGACTTCTGTGGCTGCTTGATACATTTCTTTGTTCAATTTCTGTTCTGACATGACATATCCTTTATACTAAGAGTTATAAATCATCATAATTGCATTGGCCACACAAGAGTCACATGCTACTTATCAAAGACATTACTATTCAAATGGTGGATGCTGCGTGGCTCAGTTCATCATGTTGCTATAAAAGTGTTTGAAGAACTTTTTTCTATATACTCAATGAAAAATGTACTTGGAGACTCAAGGTCAGAACCGTGGCAGCAGGATTCGATCTCGGCCCTATAGGTTGTACCGGCATATAATATAAAACATTCCCCGCGGCTTTGGGTGCTTTCCCTAGGCTCTTTATGTGCAGTTGCTAGGACAACACGAGTGGTGGTAAGCGACTTAAAGCTGACTGATTGACCATCCTTTCAGGAAATTGCTTCAATCAACGAGAAACCTCTCAGGGCTTCATGGGATCGCCGCTCATCTACAGCAGGGAGGTGTATATCCTCTGTGTTAAAATGTGAGACCTCTGCACAAATGTGAGCATGTGTGTGTGCCTCTGAACTCTGAATGCTCATGCAAACACACAACCAGTTTAGAGGTTTTGATGAAGGTTGAACCCGACACACTTTTCCGACAACCACTGTTTCAATTTAATCAAGAAAGCTCACCTTTGTCTGTCATCTGTTTATCCGTCAATCATGGCCGTAATGCCGTAAATGTCCCGCTGCCGGACAGATAAACACTCTGATTCAGATCCCTGCAAAAGCACGAGCAAAGCTTCTGTTGTTTGCAAGGCTTTAAAGCTCAAATAATAGCTTTGTAGCCATTATGGGGCAGAATAAATAGAGAGGACATAGATGCACAGCTGGCTGACATATAAGACACAACTTCAGATTTATATCCAGCAAGCAAGGAGCAACTTTGGCAGGAAAAGTTGGCAGAAAGTTCTCTAGGATGCTTTGAGGCTACAGACAGATCGTAACGTAGAACTGCTCGAGTCATAAATGCCTAATGAGGGAAACAAATAGGCAAACAGCAGCACCATGCATATTCAATACATTAACCACACAGCATTTTATTCTAAATGTTATCTGGCAAACGTTCAATGCCAGCGGTGGGCGCCTGGCAACGAGAGCGAGCGCTTCACTACAGAAACACAAGCTATTGATTGGATGTTTTGTACACTTCATTCTTTGCCTTCAAGGTTTAGAAAGAAGAAAATAAAAGTGTTGATATAAACTCAAACAATCCTTTTGTGTTGATCGACTTGCACGATTTCAATTAAAACAGGACCACTTTCATCTGGAGGTTGTTCTTTCTCTTCCTCAATGGATTCCACTTTGATTGAATATTTTTGCATCGTAGCACTTTTTAAATGTTCTGTTTGTGCACCAGTGGAGAGATAACACTCTCATGTTAATAAGACAAGTGCACTGAATAATTAGTTGAATGCCTTCAGGCAACACAAACTGTCAATGAAGGTTCAAATGTGGCGTGTTGGCTTGGAATTGAGAATCAATGCGGTTCACATTCAGCGGCAAAGGTCTGAACCAGTGTTCATTTCGTCAACGAAAACTATGACGGAAAAAGGTTCGTCAACGACCTTTTTTACAAGACTGAGACGATGACGAGCAAAAAATAGATTCTTGATAACGAAAACTATGACGAAATGTTTATTTAGTTTTCGTTTTTCGTTGACGAGACGAGACGGGACTTAAGGTGTTAATGGTGGACTATCGGACATTCAAAATGCAGCATATTTTCCCCCAAGTGTCCGTCTTGTCTGTCAAAATGCATTTTACGTTTCTAACTTGCAATATCATTATTTCCGCTCTCTTCACTCCAGAAGAGCGATCTCCCTGTGTCTCTCTCATAGACTGGTCTCTCTGTGTGCGGGGGGCGGGGCCTAACAGACACGCCGCAGCGGACACAGAGATCTTTCGGGGACGGAGCGTTCAGAGAGTAGGCTATAGAGACACATTTTGACTAAAATTTAATTTTTCATCGACTAAAAGTTGACTAACACGTTTTGAGTTTTCATCGACTAAAACTAGACTAAAACTACGAAGGATAGGAATGACTAAAATGTGACTAAAACTAATAACCATTTTCGTCTAAAGACTAAGACTCAATCAAAGACAGCTGCCAAAATTAACACTGGTGAAACAAAAGCATGAAAAGCGCTGCAAAATGTATTTATTTATTTGCTAAAGGCCTGATGCAGAACAATATGTGTTTTCTGTGCTGACCTATCCCAGCAGCAGTAACTAATACTTTCCTCTGACTTGCCAACGATCGATAATCTGACGGAGCGGCTGCAGAAATCAAAGCTGCAGGTCACATGCTGTGCATCGAGTCTAAAGGTCCAACAGCAGCACTGATGGAGGAGCGGGGTCTGATCAGGGGTGCAGGAGATGAAGCACTATTGACTCAAACTCGTCCATCAATCCGGTTTCAAGGATCCGGGGTCAGGAGGACAGAGTCATGCCTCAGCTCAGCAGAATACTCTCGGAAACACGGCTCAGTGACGAGAGCAGGATCTAATAAAGGGAAACAGTCATCTCCTGTTATAGCCTCTTCAAACAACGCTTCTAAAAATGAAGGGTGAAGAGTTTTAGCCCATATGGTTTCAATTCAACTCTACGAGCGTGTCGCAGTGAGCATGAATGGCCGCAGTGTTATTTCTGTCTCTGCAGGTATCCAATGTGGAGTGAGAGGAAGGATCTCATTTTCCAAAATGTACCGGCTGAATGTTTCTGAAGCCGTTTGAAGTGACACCGTTCGGCTTGGTTATTTCTGTTCGCTCAAAGCTCTCAGTATGATCGTACGCTTATTAGACGTACTTTGTAACAATGGCCCGGTGAGACATTAAAGCAACAAAGAAGACGCTTTGTCGCCAGTAAAATGGGAAAAAATGGCAATTTAATGCTGCATAAAACCATCCCTGGATCTTCTTTAAAAAGGGATATTAAAGAATGCCTTATAGAAAGATACAGCCATCGTCCTGCACTCAGCACGTGTTTCATATACAAACCCCACAGTCTGTCTCCAGCTGTCTTCAGGCGTGTGTTTCATACGTCTTTATTCATGCAAAGATTTCTTAAAAAAAAGTATTTCACTGGTAGCAAGAATAAGATCAGCTTGCATCTTTCCTTGACCTTAAGAACATGTCCAAACAAAGTGGTGGAAATATGAGCAAATATGTAAATGTTTTGACTATTTCAGAACCATTGCACAAGCCTACCAAAAACAACTTATCATTGTTTAAAAATGATCAATTATAACATTTCATTTCCAGATTTTCTTCCAGGTTTCCTTATTTATTTTCTCCTGGTTGCATTTATTGTTTTTTGACGAAAGCAACGAGGCAGCGTCAGAGCATCACCCTTCTCGTTTTCATCCCGAGAAGTAGGAACTTGCCAGCTACAGTCGCTTGATAGAGCATATTTTTCAAAGTAGATTGATGCTTTTTTCAAATATGACATCACAGTTAATTCACCATTTAAGAAGAATAAACTAGCAAACAATCTGTTGCCTAAAAGCTCGTTTTTCTTTTGTAACATTTTGTAGTAAAGTATATGAGTATTTGTAATTTGTTACTTTCAACACCCAGTGAAGTTGTCTCCAAGCGGGAGGAAGT